GGACGCGGGGAGCGCCTCTCTATTATTTTTGGAACTTTCTGTGACGGCACCATCTTTTCAAAAGGAAGAAGGTTAAAAATGCGCAAATATTTGGAAATTAAACAACACTCCTCTAAAAACCTTTGATTCAAAGAAAAATCACAGAGGCTATTAGGACACGTTTTGACCTGAACGATATTAAAGCAAAAATAAAAAAGCAAATATTGGGGAATATCGTGAGATACTGTGAAAACAGTGCTTTGAGAGAGAGAAAAAAATAGTAAGCTCTCATCACGAATAACAGAGGAGAGATTTGAAATCAATGATAGTGACTTGCATCGCCCAAGACTAGAAAAAGCAGAGCGAGTTAAATCCAAAATCTCGCCGAAACCGGTGTGGCTCAGTGGATAGAGCGTCGGCCTGTGGACTGAAGGGTCCCGGGTTCAATTCCGGTCAAGGGCATGTGCCTTGGTTGTGGGCACATCCCCGGTGGGGGGGTGTGCAGGAGGCAGCTGGCCCATGTTTCTCTCTCATCAATGTTTCTAACTCTCTGTCCCTCTCTCTTCCTCTCTGTAAAAAATCAATAAGATATATTTTTATAAAGAAATAAAATAAATACATAAATCCAAAATCACCAGACGGGTACCCAGGATGAGCTATATCCTCTGAGTCCATCAACAACAAAACCTCCATTAAGTTAAGGGTTAGAAAAAATTGGAGGTTGCATAAACATGACTCTGAGCAAGAAAGGTGGTGTTTTGTGCAGGGGGCTGTACCAGGAACCCTCGGTGTCAGTCCCCCGGAAAGGCTGAGCCCCACTAGGAAAGAAATGTCTGTCCACCCTCTCCTCGTACAAAACACGCTCTCTCCACACTTGCGAGAGGAACAGAGAGGGCCCTGGAGTGTCAGGAGCGCCTGGCACCGCGCTCGCGCTCCTTCGCACACCTGCAGGGGGAGCTCTCGCCACCTGCAATGGGAGTGGCGCCCCCTGGAGGTGAGCAGTGCACAGCCAGGCAGCCGTGGCACAGTGACCAACAGCACATGCCCAGGAGCCCAGCAAGCCTGCGTCCGTTTCCAATCCTGAGGCGGCCTATAGCCCAGGGCAAGTTAGGTCCCCCCCTCTGCCTCCATTTCCCCTTTTTTTTTCCCTTTAAATCCTCACCGAGGACATTTTTCCATTGACTTTTAGAAAGTGTGGAAGAGAGAGGGAAAGACAGGGAAGTATCCATGTGTGAGAAACACATCGATTGGGGCCGGGGAGGAGCCTGCACTAGAGGGACTGCCCCAGGCCAGCCACATCAGCTGGACTGTTAATATTTTCAGGTCGGGTGAGGGCACTAAGTATTGAAAACTTTAACAAATTCTAAGAATGAGCCACGGAAGCGGAGTCTTGCAGACGTGGGCCAGCTGGCATGGCTCAGTGGTTGAGCATCGACCTCTGAACCAAACCAGGTCACCATCCGATTCCCCATCAGGGCACAGGCCCCGTGGTGGGCTCGAACCCACATTGAGGGCGTGCAGGAGGCAGCAGGCATGGTTCTCTGATCATTGATGCTTCTCTCTCTCCCACTTCCTTCCACTCAGAAAGCAATTAAAAAAAAAAAAAAAAAGCAATAAGTAAGAAGAAAGCAGAGACCCAGGACAGGCTGCGTGCGTGCGTGCGTGCGTGCGTGCGTGAACTCCTGGCCTAGGGTTCTGCTCCCAGCTCGGGGCAGGAAGGGTTGGCACAGCCTTCCCTACAGCGCAGGCTGAGAAGGCAGCAGCCAGAGCCTATTCCGGGAGAGAGGAGGGAGGCGGGAGGCGGGAGGAGGGAGGAGGGAGGAGGGAGGAGGGAGGAGGGAGGAGGGAAGCAGGAGCCTCCGCTGCCCGGTGAGGTCATGCCAGTCAGCAGGCAGGAAAGCAGGCATTTCTCACACTTGCTAATGAGCTTGACGCTAGTGAAACATCAACAGGAAGTGGGAGCTCTCCAACGCCCCGGAGGAAATCCACTCCCCGTGTGGTCGCCAAGGTCACTGCCAAGTCTGCGCACACGCGCGCACACACTCTCACATGCACACATACACACACACTCACTCGCACACACACGCGCACACACATAGACACACACACTCACTCTCACACACGCACACACACATTGCACACACTCACACACATGCACACACACACATGCACACTCACACACATACACACTCACACACACGCTGCAGGTCCTCTGCGCCCCGCGGGGCCGGGGCGGGCCGGGGTGACCCGCGGGGCGGCGGGCAGCGGGGCAGTGAATCCCCGCGGGGCGGCTTTCAGTCAGGAGTTTCCGCGGGCCCGGCCTCCCCTCCCCTCCCCTCCCGCCGGGAAGGTCACGGCGCCCGGCCTCCGGGCGGCGGGGGCGGCGGGGGCTCCGCGGGGCCAGGCCCCGGGCACGTGGGGGCCTCGCCGCCCCGCTGCGCCCCCTCCTTCCCCAGGCACCTCCGCTCGAAGGAAATAAAACTAAAAAACAAAACCGCAAAACCGCAAAGAAAATTTTTTTAACTTGTATATTTTTTCTCTGCCAGCCGAGCAGCCGGCGGCCCCGTTAATCCCCAGCCGCCGTCCGCCTCCCGCCCCGCCCGGGTCCGGTAACCCCGGGGCGGCCTGTGTTCCTGCCCGGTCTCCCCGCGGCACCGGGGGGCGGGGCCCGGCCACGGCCACGGCCACGGCCACGGCCACGGCCACGGCGGGAGGGGGCCCGGGCCCCGCCACGCGAAGCCCGGCCCGGCCGCCGCGGGCAGCGCCGCGGGTTGTGTAAGCGGCAGCCGGAGGGGGGACCCGGACGCCGCGATCGGGGGTGGGGGCCGCAGGAGGGGACGCGGGGCGCCGCGCCCGCCGCCTGTGGGCGCTAGACTGCGGGGGCACCGGGGCGCACGTGGGCGCCGGCCCGGAGGCAGCGCCGCGGGCGGGGCGGGGCGGGGGCGGGCGCCCTCCCCGCGGTCAGGTGCGCGCGGCGTGCTCGCCCGCGGCCTCGGCTGCCCCCGCGCTGGCCGCCCGCCCGCTCCCATGGGGTGACATCCGCCGCCCGCCCTCCCCGGCGGCGGCTCCTGGCCGCGGGCCGGGGGCGGGCGGGGCCGGGAAGGAGCCCGGGCCTCCGGGGACGCCGGCCCGCGGCTCCCTCGGCGCGCGGCTCCGGGAGGCGGCGGCGGAGGAGGAGGGCCGGGCGGGCGGGAGAGCGAGGGGATATTCCGCTCCCGCCTGAGTCAGCCCCGGCGGATCCGCCTCCCCCGGCCGCCCGGGAGCCGGGAACTTACTTCATTTCCCTGGGGCAGGTTCGCCCCCGGCGCCGCCCGCCCGGCCCCCCTCCAGCCTCTGTGCCCCCCCATAGCCCCGCGGCTCCCCTTCAGCCTCTGTTTACCCCCATAGCCCCCCCCCCCGGCTCCCCTCCAGCCTCTGTGCACCCCCATAGCCCCCCCCGGCTCCCCTCCAGCCTCTGTGCACCCCCATAGCCCCCCCGGCTCCCCTCCAGCCTCTGTGCACCCCCATAGCCCCCCCCCGGCTCCCCTCCAGCCTCTGTGCTCCCCCATGGCCCCCCCCGGCCCCCCTCCAGCCTCTGTGCGCCCCCATAGCCCCCCCATACCCCCGCGGCTCCCCTTCAGCCTCTGTGCACCCCCATAGTCTCCCCCCCCCGGCTCCCCTCCAGCCTCTGCACCCCCCATAGCCCCCCCCATACCCCCGCGGCTCCCCTTCAGCCTCTGCGCCCCCCATGGCCCCCCACCCCCGGCTCCCCTCCAGCCTCTGTGCTCCCCCATAGCCCCCCCCCCCGGCTCCCCTCCAGCCTCTGTGCTCCCCCATGGCCCCCCGCGGCTCCCCTTCAGCCTCTGTGCTCCCCCATAGCCCCCCCCCGCTCCCCTCCAGCCTCTGTGCTCCCCCATAGCCCCCCCCGCTCCCCTCCAGCCTCTGTGCTCCCCCATGGCCCCCCGCGGCTCCCCTTCAGCCTCTACGCCCCCCATGGCCCCCCCCCGGCTCCCCTCCAGCCTCTGTGCTCCCCCATAGCCCCCCCCCGCTCCCCTCCAGCCTCTGTGCTCCCCCATGGCCCCCCGCGGCTCCCCTTCAGCCTCTGCGCCCCCCATGGCCCCCCCCCGCTCCCCTCCAGCCTCTGTGCTCCCCCATAGCCCCCCCCGCTCCCCTCCAGCCTCTGTGCTCCCCCATGGCCCCCCGCGGCTCCCCTTCAGCCTCTACGCCCCCCATGGCCCCCCCCCCGGCTCCCCTCCAGCCTCTGTGCTCCCCCATAGCCCCCCCCCCGCTCCCCTCCAGCCTCTGTGCTCCCCCATGGCCCCCCGCGGCTCCCCTTCAGCCTCTGCGCCCCCCATGGCCCCCCCCCGGCTCCCCTCCAGCCTCTGTGCTCCCCCATAGCCCCCCCCCGCTCCCCTCCAGCCTCTGTGCTCCCCCCATAGCCCCCCCCCGGCGGGGCAGGATCGGGCGGCGCGCCACCACCTCTTCGGGGAAAGGCGGCCGCACGCAGACACCTGGGGCCCGGCGGGCGGGGGCGGGGGCCGGCAGCCGAGAGCGCTGTCCGACACGTGAGCCTCATGTGACGGCGGCGGGGAGGGCGGGCAGGTCGCTCCTTCCCTCCCCGGCGCGGCCAGACGTGCCTGGAGTCACAGGGCGGAACACGTAGCTCCAGCCACCCACTCGCTCCCAGGGAGCCCAGCCCGCAGCTCCCCATTACTCCGCGCCCCCCCCGCCGGCCCGGCCCCCGCCTCCCCCCCCCCCGGCTCCTCCCGCCGCCCGCCCCGCCGCTCATTCACTTGGCTGCGCGGCGCAGAGGCAGCGGAGCACTCACCGCCGGGCTGCGCGCGGAGCCGGAGCCGGAGTCGGAGCCAGCGCCCAGACCCGTGCACGCCCCCAGCCGAGGCCGGAGCACTCGCAGCCGCCGCGCCCGCAGCCCCGCGCACTTCGGGGAGCTCGTCCGTCCCCAGAGGAAGCCCCCGGAGCGGGCTGCGAGGCGCCCCCGGGACCGCAGACCGGAGCGCGCCGTGGCCCCGGCTCGCCGTGCCATGGAGCGGATCCCCAGCGCGCAGCCGCCCCCCTCCTGCCTGCCCAAGGCGCCCGGACTGGAGCCCGGGGACCTGCCGGGGTAAGCGGGCACCCCTGTCCCCGCAAAGCCTCCACTCCAGCCCTACGGTCCTGCACCGCTGCCGGCTCGGGGCAGGGCCAGTTCCGGGCGCACCCGGGGGTTCCTGCCCGCCGGCTCGGGGCAGGGCCAGTTCCGGGCGCACCCGGGGGTTCCTGCCCGCCAGGCTGTGCAGCCCCGGGCGCCCGCAGACTCACCGCCCTCCGCCCCTCTCCCGCAGGATGGATTTCGCCCAGATGTACCAGGTGTACAAGTCCCGGCGGGGAATAAAGCGGAGCGAGGACAGCAAGGTGAGACTCGCCCCGCGCCCCTGGGAACCGCAGCCCCAGCGCGCGCCGAGTTTCCAAGAAAAGTTTTCTCGCTCGGAGGCCGGAGGGGGGTCTGCCAGGCGCGGGCGGGCGCCTCTCCCGCGCAGCTGGAGCAGGAGGGCAGGAGCGGAGGGGGAGGGGGGGGCTCTGGGTGTGACCGCCGCGCTGCCCGGCTCTTCCCGAGCCCGGGGTCCGGGGAGAGGGCTGCTCGCCCCGGCCTCGCGCCCACCGCCCCCCGCGCGCCTTGCAGGAGACCTACAAACTGCCGCACCGGCTCATCGAGAAGAAGAGACGCGACCGGATTAACGAGTGCATCGCCCAGCTGAAGGACCTGCTGCCCGAGCACCTCAAACTTACAGTAAGTCAGTGAGAGGCTGGCCGGGCGCCCGCCGGCTCCCCGCCTGGAGGGCGGGCGGGCGGGGGTCACCCGCCGCCTGCAGGCCCCGCGGGGAACTGCAGAGCCCAGGGCTGGGTCCCAGCCGAGCCGGCTCTGTTTGGGGGTCCCCTTGCCCAGGGCTGGGGGGTTCCGGGTAGCTTCATGCACATGAGTGAGAACCGCTTGGACTTCTCCAAGTTGGCGCCCACCCCAGCCGGCCTCCCCCTGTGGTGAGGATGCTCGGAGTTCCCGGGTTTTCCTGGGTGGAGTGGACCACCAACACGCGGGTTTATTTGCCTCCTCTGCCCCCTCCCTTTTTATCTTTAACGAGAGGACTCGTTTTGATGGGTGATCTTCATGCCCTGTCCTTTCTTGGCAGCAGCCAGTAGCTTACTAGGGTGGCAGCCTTTGGTCGGGGACAGGGGGACAGTTAGTATTGGGGGAGGCAGCAAACGCCTGGGTGAGCCGGGCGTTAGGAGAGCGTGCCAGGGAACGCTGCTTGGCTGCCAGGCGCACCAGTGCCTCCGGGGATGACACGGTGGCGGCAGCCGAGAAACGTTAGCTGGGCAGGGAGGGAGGGAGGGAGAGAGGGAGGGAGGTCAGCCGCAGCTGCTGCAGAAACGGACCTGCCAGCACCTTCTCCTAAGGTCGCAGCTGCGTCCCAGCGCCTCCAGGGACAGTGGCACGCGTCTGCCTGTTCGGTCACCAGGAGATATATCTCCTTAACCGGTGCCTTTAAAATTAAACTCAGCCGCCAGGAAGCCCCCCCACACACACCTGCCCCGTGGAATTGCTCCCGACTGTCCCAGAGGCAGCCCTGTGCGCTGTGCGCTGTGGGCTGTGTGCTGTGAGCTGTGTGCTGTGAGCTGTGCGCCGTGAGCGGTGAGCGGTGCTGACGCAGGCTCTCTGCTTGCAGACGCTGGGCCACCTGGAGAAGGCGGTGGTGCTGGAGCTCACCCTGAAGCACGTGAAGGCCCTGACGAGCCTGATTGACCAGCAGCAGCAGAAGATCCTGGCCCTGCAGAGCGGGCTGCAAGCCGGTGAGTGCCCGTGCCCGGCCTGCATGGGAGGGTGGGGGGCGGGGGCAGGGCTCCGGCACAGACAGCGCCCGCGGGCCCAGCGCCTGCTCGCTCCGCGTGGGCACGTGCTCGCGGGGGGTGAAGCCGGGGGAGCGTCCTCAGAGGTCAGGCTTTCCGAGGGGAACGTGCTGTGCCACCTGGCAGGCCTGCCTGGCAGTCAGGCGGCCGCTGGCCCCCGGGCACGTTGGCTTCGGGTTTCTGGGTTCCGGGAGCGGTCCCCCTTCCTCCTCAAACGCGAAGGCCCCTAGAAGGTGCATCGTGGGCGTCTGATGGCCGCTCCCCGGAGGAGGCGGCGCGGGCAGGCCCCCGTTTTCCTGGGCCCCGGCTTCCTCATGGCCCGGTGTGTGGCATGCTCCTGGCAGGCTGACAGGGGAGTGCTTCCTGCATTTCATGTGGTTCCCCGAATAGCCAGGAGGTATCTCGGGGGATTGCACAACCGAGCGAAACTGCTGGCGTTTCGTCACCTGCTCCTCCCCTCCCGAGAGCCACACTCCCCTTCCAGCCTTCCCTCCGCCACGCGGCCGCGAGGACAGGCCCCCCTCCCACCCCCCAGCCTCCTCCGCTGCCCTGCCGGGACCGGGCGCGAGCGGGCGTCCCTGAATCCCGGTCCCTCGCTGGGCACAGGAAGATATTCACCCCCGGTTTCCTGGGGGCTGTGGGCCGAAGGCTGGAAGGAGCCTGTGGGCCTCATGATGGCAGCATGGCTGTCGTGGGAATATGTCGCTGAGAACTAGATCGCCCAAGGGGGTGTCTTCCCTTCGTTCTTTCGTTTCGTGGCCACTGGCCTCGGTCCGGCTGGCTGCCGTGACACCGAGGTCCTGCCCTTGGACTCTCCGGGTCAGAACCTTGCTCGGCTGCCCATTGCGTGCCCCTTGCCCTGAGACGGCAGGACCACATACACATTCCACGGGGGCGGGTGGCCCGTCGGTTAGCCGATGGTCTCTCTCTCTCTCTGATGGGTCTCTGATGGGCAGTAGCCGTTACCCTGCATGGTGTCCATGTGATTCCTCCCACTCCCCAGGGCCGTCACGCCCTTTTGGAGTTGGGAACACAGGCGCCCACGTGGGTTAGCAAACGGGCGGCCCTGGCCCCGCTGGGGGGAGGGGCTGGTGTGCAGGTGACCCCGGGCCTCCTGAGAACGCCTCCCTCTCCTCCGTGTCCCAGGCGAGCTGCCCGGCAGAGGCGCCGAGGCCGGCCAGGAGCTGTTCTGCTCGGGCTTCCAGACGTGCGCGCGGGAGGTGCTGCAGTTCCTGGCCCGACATGAGCACGCCCGGGACCTCAAGTCCGCTCAGCTGGTGGCCCACCTGCACCGCGTGGTCTCCGAGCTGCTGCAGGCCGGCGCCCCCCGCAAGGCGGCCGACCCCGCCGCGGTGCCCGCGGACCTCAAGGAGCAGCCCGGCGCCCCGGCCGGGGGCTCCGAGGGCCCCGGCAAGAACTGCGTGCCCGTCATCCAGCGGACGTTCGCCCCGTCGGGCGGGGAGCAGAGCGGCAGCGACACCGACACCGACAGCGGCTACGGCGGCGAGTCCGAGAAGGGCGAGGCGCGAGGGGAGCGGCCGTACCTCAAAGGCGACCGTGGACGCGGCAGGCTGGCCGCGGGGGAGCGGGTCGGCGCCATCAAGCAGGAGTCCGAGGAGCCCCCCGCGAAGAAGGGCCGGCTGCAGCTCTCGGACGACGAAGGCCCCTTCCCCGGCGGCGACCTGCTGGGCTCCCCGTTCCTGGGGGGCCCGCACCCGCACCAGCCCCCCCTGTGCCTGCCCTTCTACCTGATCCCGCCCTCGGCCACCGCCTACCTGCCCATGCTGGAGAAGTGCTGGTACCCCACGTCCGTGCCCCTGCTCTACCCCGGCCTCAGCGCCTCCGCCGCCACCCTCTCCAGCTTCGTGAACCCGGACAAGCTCGCGGGCCCCTTGCTCCTGCCCCAGAGACTCCCTTCCCCCCTGCCGCCCCACCCGGCCCTCGACTCGTCCGCCCTGCTCCAGGCCCTGAAGCAGATCCCCCCTTTGCACCTGGAAACCAAAGACTGAACGCCGCGTCTCACCCCAGCCCCCCGCCTTCAAAAAGAAAAAAAACAAGTGTGTGTGTGCAGGGAGTGTGTGTGTGCAGGGAGTGTGTGTGTGCAGGGAGTGTGTGTGCAGGGAGAAGAGCCGGGGTGGGGAGCCGGCCCCTGTGGGGCACCATGAGGGATGGCCTGCCGCCGGGAGACCCGGGGGGGTTGTAACAGGACCTTGGGGATCGTCCCCTCCCAGGGAGAACCCTGCAGCAGCCAGGCAGCTGGGCTTCTAGAGCCTCCAAGGCCGGGCCGGTGAGTCAGTCCTCTCTGGGATCGGCCTGTGGCTTTCAGAAGAAGGTACTTTCAAAGGAGGGCTTTCTGAGGCCGGTTCCCAGCCCCGCCCGCCTCCCTGCTCCCCGGCGTGACTCAGGGAGCGGGCGGCCCGGCCAGCTTCCCGCTGATGGCGAGGTGGCTCTCACGGTAGTGGTCCGGGAGGTTCCCGCAGGCCTGCTCCCGCCCCGCCTGCCCGGCACGGAGAACACGGTCCCCCACCCCCTCCCCGGCTGTCAGGGCGATGGGCTGGCTGAGGAACTGAAAGGGCCCCCACAGGCCCAGCCGCCGGGGGTGCAGGCACGGTCCCCGGGGACCTCGGGCGCCTGTTCCAAGCCTCGCTGTCCAGGGAACCGCCCAGGGCCTGCAGTGCCGACGCCCACGGTCCCCGCGCCCCGCAGTGCGCTGGGCTACAGCACACACCGCTGCCTCCCACCGGCCAGACTCGGGGTTCGGTTCTGGCCTAAAGCTCCTTGTAACCAAGCTTCGCTTCCTGAAGGCCTGCCTGAGCTTTAACAAGAGCCTTTCCGTAGCCTGATGCCCCCACCACCACTACCAGCCCCCACCCCCCCCACCAGGCACACGGGTCTCCGCCCGAGAAGGCGTCACACTGCCCTCACCAGCCCGCATCGCCCAGACACACGACGCTTGGCCGTGTTCCGACCCTTCCCTTTCCCGTTTTTATTTTGGTATCAAGTCGTTGCCTTGATTTGTAAAGCGGTTATCTATCTATATATATATATATTCTGTAACTATTGACGAGGAGACTTTCAGGGGTTTGTTTGTAAAACTACTTGATCTGCGCGCGAGGACAATGAATGTACCCCCGTCCCCGAGGCGGGGGCCGCGTCCCCTGCTCCGGGCAGCGGGACCGTGTTTATACTCTGGAGCCTTCCGGAAGGTGTGAGGCTGTACATATTTCTACCGGCGCGTCGCTGTTACGTGGCTGTTTGTAAAGGACTGAATAAAACCACGCTCTTCCCGTGGAAGGGAACACGGTGTCCTGCATTTCTTAGAAGGTCTCGGGGGTGAGTGTGGCTGCCCCGGGTCCGAGGGCGGTGGCACCCCGGTCCCCCCCGGCGCCCTGCCCTCCGGCAGCCCTAGCCAGAAGGAGCCTGGTCCACGTGGTAGGCAAATACTGGCTGAAGTTTGGTGGCTGGTTTTTTTTTTTTAAAACTTTTGCTAGAAGTTTAGTCTCCGTGGACTTCCTCCCACGGTAAAGAGGACATCGGCCACCCAGGCCCGGCCCCGGCCTTAGGACCTGGCAGGAGAGCCAGGCGTGGCCCGGGGCACGGCGAGGGGGCGGCGTGGGGAAAGGCTCCGTACGGTGTCCGCCACGGCCGCTGACGCTGGGGCAGCCGGGCCACTGAGTGTCCCGAGTCCGGCGAGGTCTGATGGATGCGCCACATCCTGCCTGTTGCAGCCGAAGGCAACATCCCATCATTATCGCCTGCATCCTTCCTGCGCTTCCTCTCCAGGAGCGTGTGTGTGTGTGTGTGTGTGTGTGTGTGCGCACACACGTGGGAGTGAGGTGGCTGTTCCTCCGGCCCGCGCTCTTTGGAAAAGGAAAACGTTCCGTGGGAAAGCGGTGGGAAGTGGCCGGTCCACTCTCCGTGGCTCAGCCGTCACCCTCCCAGAGGCCTCGGGGTGCCAGGGCCGGCTGGCCACGCTCCCGCCCCCGCCCCGCCCTCCAGCCCTGCCTCGTCTGGGTGCCAAGCAGGGAACCCGCTGCCCCTGGGTAGCAGTCAGCCAGGCAAAGGCACCCCTGCCACCCTGAGTGCCGGCTCCCAGTGCCCCTCCTGCCTCCTGTGAGCCGGCGGGCGCCATGAGCGGGCACAGGTCCCGGACAGCACAGAGCCCTCACAGGAGCCCGGCCAGGAGGCAGGGGTGAGCGGCGGGTCTGTCATGCCTGCGGCAACCTGCCTGCCTTGGACCAGGCAGCGTGAGGGCTCTGGGTGTAGGGTAGCAGACACAGGGTGAACTGTCAGCCCTCCTCCTCCTCCTCCTCCTCCTCCTCCTCCTCCTCCTCCTCTACCTCCTCCCAGCCCAGGGCCTGAGACGCCCAGGAGTTCCTCTGAGAATCGCCAGACGTCTCTGTGTTTTCAGGTTAAGACCTGAACCAGTCAGGCTGATCCTGCGGACGGAGCCCGAGACCAAGCGCGTCCTGCGTGCCCCCGCTCCGGGCCGGGCCGTGACTCAGGGCTCGCCTCGGGGACAGCAGGAAGTGGTTGGAGCGACCTGCGTTACCAAGAGTTCTGAGGGTTCAACACATAGTCAGCGGAGAGCCCCCCCGCCCCCCTCCTGCCCGTCCCACGGCCCTGAGGTGGCAGCTGTGGGCCTCGGCCGCCTCCTGCTTCTGTTTGCCCTGACCTTCCTCCAGCCCAGCCCAGCTGAGCGGGTTCCAAGCGGCTCCGAGGGAGACGGGGACAAAGAGGACCTCTGTTTGCAAAGGGGTGTGTGCGTGTGAGGGGGTGAAGCCTGGTCTGGGGCCCGGGAGAGGCGTTGGGGGGGGGGGGGAGGGACGGGGGAGGCAGTGAGGGAGCACAGGCTGGGCTCCGGCCGCGTTCAGACAGGGCGTGCTCTCCGCCCGCCGGGATGGTCTCACCCGGCGCTGACCTGCCTCGCCTGTTGACACAACTTCACGTTTCCGACTGCAGCCTTTCCTGTGCGGCCCACGGCTAAATGCGGCTGCCGGTTCCTGGAAGCAGACGTGCCTGGCATCGCGTCAGCAGAAACCTGAGCCGGGGAAGCTGGGCACGCTGGCAGGATCGCCGGGCCCCCGGAATAGAGCCTGGCAGGGCCGCTCACGCCAGCGGGAGGGAATCCGGCGCTCCCCGCCGCCCGCGGGGCAGGGGCGGGGCGGGGCGGGGCGGGGCGGGAGCTGGATTAGGCAGGGCCTGGGCCCAGGGCCGCGTGAGCCAGGAGCTAGCAGCTTCCCACGGGCCATCGCGCCTCACCACGGCCTGACAGCCTGGACGTGCAGGAGAGGCACTGACTGTGGTAGCTCAGGTGGTGTGGGCCCGTAGAAGCAGGCTCAGAGAGGGCAGGCAGGCTGCCCAAGGTCACACAGCTTTCGAGTCGCCGAACCACTCATGGGATGGGGCGTGTGTTGGATTGTAGCTCTCCTTAGCGGGACCCAGGTAAAGGCCTTCCCAGAATCTGGTTGTTAATACTAATACTAATAATAACAACAACAACAACAACCACACAAACGCCCAGCCACTGCTACGACTGGCAGCAAACACCACGGCAGCTCTGACTAAAGCCCTCTTCACAGTCCTCCGAACCCGAGGTGGAGGGGATGCGGCTCCCGCACACGGGCACACGGTGCCGGCCGGAAACGGGACGTTCGCGGGGGGATCTGGCTCCAGGTCTGTTTGCCCGCCACAGGCCGCTCTGCCCTCCGCGTCAGAGCATCCCAGCGACTCAGAATAGAGACGGCAGCAGCCGCCACAACCGTCACGCCGATGTGGACGCGTTTCCTACGCCAGCCGCTCCTAGGCCTTCCGTGAATTCTCCCCGCTTCCTGCGGCCGCTGTGCAGGGCGAGCGTTCACCTGTGTGTCTTCCGGCTGAGAGGGCGGGCGGGGGGTCAGGGAGGGAGGTGCCTCCCTGAGGTCACACACAGGGGGTGACCTCACTTTGTCCTCCCAGGAGCCCCATGGGGCACCGGTGATGTCATCAAAGCTCAGAGCGAAATTCTTTGCCCAACTCTTTTTTTTTTTTTTTTAATTTTTTAATATATTTTCTCACATTGATTCCAGAGAAGAAGGGAGAGGGAGAGAGAAACATCAATGATGAGAGAGCAGCATGGATCGCCCTCACTGGGGAGGGAGCCCGCCACCTGGGCATGTGCTCTTGACCAGAATCAAACTGGGGACCCTTCAGTCCGCAGGCCGACGCTCAATCCACTGAGCCACACCAGCCAGGGCTGACCTACTCTTTATTTGCTCCCTTACAAATACCATCCCAGGGTCAAAAGATGGGCCCTTTCTCCAGCTCAAGAACTAGTGGGCAGGACTCTCCGGGGGAGGGGGGGAGGGGGGGACGGGGGGGTGGCTGTAGGGTGCTGTGCTGAGGAGGAGAATCTGGGTGGAGGAACTTCCATGTCAAAGTGTCGGGGGAGGGGGCACCGCCTTCCTCACCCCTTAGGGTTCGGAGAGGCGGGAGGGGCCTGGGGCAGCCGCTGCACGTGGTACACGTGGCAGGGACCGTGGGATGGGCAGGTCTCAGGGAGGGGAACCCGAGGAGGGGGGGGGGATGCAGGGAGGTGGGGAGATGGAGACTGGGTTGCAGGCTGTCCCCCTGGAAGGGAACCTGGGCGGGTGAGCCGGGACCCCAGACCTGCAGCCTCGCTCTGGCTGGCGAGGGCCACGCAGGCGCTGGCGGGGCGCAGGGCCAGCCTCTCAGGGCGGAGCTTCTCTCCCGGCCCGGCTCCCCCCGCGGGGCTCAGGGGCCGCGTGTGTGGCTCCCGGCCGGCGTGCTCTCCGGAGTCAGAGGCCCCTGCGCCATGGGGCGGGTGGGGCCTCCCGTCTCTGCCCCGGGTCTGTGGTCTGACCAGCGGTCCCATTGCCACCGGCCTGGGGAAGGCACCGACGGCAGCCTGCTCCCGGCCGGCCGTCACCTCACCCGCCTCTGTCCCGTCCCCGAGGGAGGCCGAGGCCACTCAGAGCCTCCCCCCCCCCTTATCCCAGGCCATCTGTTT